GGGGGGGGGGGGACGTTTACTCAGAGCGGGCATGCGCACTGGCTGTAATTGCAACTATCCGCTTTGATTTGGAAATGTTTGACGTGAGGACAAAGCGCTCTCGAGGCTCACGGTGATTGGTAACAACAACAAAGCGCGCACGGTGTCGTAAAGTGTTACCAGTTCTAAATAAAAAACCGCACGGGCAGCGTGAACGCGCCTGAACCTGGAGGGCAAAGTTCAACACGCCGCTTTATAGCCGGTAAATATTTGAACTAGTGTTTCTCTCGTAAGGAAATCCCCACTTCCCCTGAATTACTGAAGAAACAGCGAAGGAATAGAATAGAACAGCCCGACATGTAGACATATGTTTGAAGTCAGGATCATTTCTCTCATAAAAGTGACTTAATTGAACACGCAGTGATAACTGATGATTAAATGTGTGTGCGTGAGAAAGAGCTTAACTTCGCAGGACACAAACACGTGATTACACTGATACAAAACATCAGGAGAAAAGATGAGAACAAGTTAGACATGAAATTAATCAATAGCTGTTTTTATAATCAAAGAACAAAAAAAGGACAAACGTGATCCTGCTGATGTTTTGTTTTCTAGCATACAGTTAGAAAAAAGATAAATAAAATGAGCAAATAATCAGCAAATTAATCATGAATGGAAATTATTATTAATTGCAGCCCCACAACCTTAGGTCACAGCAGCAAGAGGGGGGGCTGCAGCATTGAAATCACTGTAAATTAACTGCAACATAACAACAACAACAAACAAAAAAGTATGAAGAAATTCAGATTAGATTATGTAAACAATATTAGCTTTCCACAAGGCTCCTTTAGTATTTAACTGTGCTCCTAATGGCCACACCAGTGCACAGTGAGGCAAGTCTGAATTACCAGCCAGGCAAAGCAAGCAACTTCCCCTGGGCCCAAAAGTGCACTGCCTGCAATTTTGGCACTGATTAATTGCAATTTTGTTTGAGAATTTGCACACCGAATATCTACTAAGGCAGGTCCTGCATTATTGTTATGTTAAGATAAGATAGAACTTTATTCATGTTGTGCAGAAGTTGCAGTACAAAAGGAGTAAAGAGTGCAAGTATAATATATTTACAACTATAAATATATCAAAAGTATTAAAAATCCAAGTCAGAAATATAAACAAGGTAAGGATCAGCAAGTGCATATTCCTTAATAAAGTAATTTAATGAAATAACAGCAAACTGACTCCAATAAACGTGGTGTTCCACATTAACCCTCTAGCTGGTCTCTGATCAAATAATGAAGCTGCCATGAGGGCATTAAGTTTTGGGGCCAATATGGGCCCCCCATAAGACGTTAGAACAGCCATGTCTAAGGTTCTATAGTCGACTATGAAGGAAATCCAGTAAAGAAACCAAGAAGCCAGAGTCAAATATTTGCAGGTATGTTTAATATTTGCAGATATGTTTAATAGTTGCATACAGGAGGCAGCACCCGACCTCCTTTTCAAAAATTAAAGCTGTCTTCATTATGGTGGCACAGCCATTAGCCACAGTTGCATATTTCATCTGTCTGACAGGCAGAATTACCCACTAAATACCACCATGACGTAATAAAAGACAAACTTCTGTGACTGACATCTGAATAGTCTCTATACAACCACGCCCATCTGGTGTACCGTAATTAAGAAAACAAGCACTGCTAAACTGAGGCCTTCCCTCAACTATTAATACAATGCTGCTCAGCTTCTGTTAGTTTTCTGCTGCTGCCACCAGTTCCCTGCAGCAGCTCATCTGATCTCCTGAAAGCTGCACTACAGCTGCTGCACCCTCTAAACACACCAAGTCCCTGTTTAGATCCAAACCTGTAGTTTATATACCTAGACTCTATAATATAACAATACTGACCCTGTAATCAGACAATAGCAGCAGGGGTCTATTAGGACATGGCAGCACCAGCCTTCATCTCTCTTAATAAGAGTGACTTTATCTCTCTAGGTGTATAAGGCAGCTGGCTGCACCCCAAAAAACAAGACAGAGGCCCACAAAAATCATACTATACTACATTATAGCTGACCATTTCTACAGCAAACCATAGGTATGAAATTTAAATTGCAAGGACCTGAAACATGCACATGAATCATCCACCCACGAGCATC